ATGTTAACTGCATCCAGCTACTGTCTTGTAGAAGGCCTCCTAGGCAAAGACATTAGGGGTAAGCAGAAAAATTCTGCTAACCAGCATCGAACCCCTTCCTCATCTATTAGGCTGGCGTAGATGTAACCTGTGTTACATTGTTTCCTGCCTAGGATGATGAATGCTGGATCTCCTTGAATCTACTCATAGAATTTTGCTTATGCCACTTGATAATGGCTATGCAACTCTTCCTGTTATCTCCATATGAGGGTACAGCTCTAAAACTCAGTTTAATGGTTCTGAGGCCGGCTGGTAGTAAGGTTTCCCGAACTCTGTGGTAGCTCTCAGAGAGGCTGATTCCATCAACAGCTGCAAAATATCAGAGTATTAACAGTGCGATGTTGCGCATGGATGGTGTCCCTGTTAATGCTTTTGGTGTGCATTGTCAAAGCCACATAAGGAGCCCTGTCACGGCTTAGGGTTAATTAACAGGACTGAGACAACTGCATAGCTCATTGATTAGAAGGCTGTGCTCTATCTACGAATGAGTCAAGTTCTCATTAAACCCAAATCATGACCAAAGTAACCAAAAATTTAAAACCTAAAAAACCATCCCCACCACTTATATATATCTTTTACAAATATTCGCAGTCTACGAAGCAACTTTCTATCAGTTGAGTCTTACCTCCTGCAAAATTCACCAGACTTGCTTGCACTCAGTGAAACAAATTTAAATTCTGCAATTCCTTCTTTAGATGTTAGCGTTGATGGGTACTATCCTTTGATTAGTAAAGACTCCAATAGTCACATGCTAGGTTTAGGGGTATACATACGCATTAATTCCCCTATTTGTCGTGAAATCAGGTTCGAATCCTTTGACCATTCTTTTATGTGCTTTTGCCTAGCACCTCTTCACTCTTTCACCTTTCTCTTTGTTCTTTATCGTTCTCCTTCTTTCCATGATTGCACTCTCTAAGATGTTATCTCTGATCAAATTGACCATGCCCTCTCTCTTTACCCCTCTGCCAATATTGTTGTTGTTGGTGATTTTAATGCCCATCACACTGAATGGCTTGGCTCTAACACCACTGATCCTGCTGACACTAAAGCCTTTAACTTCTGCGTTTCTCAATCTCTTACTCAGATAGTTAACTTTGTGACTCGTTTTTCTGACAACCCTAATGCCTTCACTCCTTGACTTATGCCTTGTCTCTGACCCTAGCTTATGTTCAGTTTCTCCCTTTTCTCCCTTAGGTGGTTCTGATCATGCAATGATCTCTATAAATCTTTCTTCTCGTACTTCTTTTTTGGACTCACCTTATCATCGCACCACCTACTACTACCCTAAAGCTGACTGGGATTCTTTTCGTGATTTTCTTCGTGATGGTCCTTGGGCTGATGTTTTTTCTCTCTCAGTTGACAAATGCGCCTCCTATGTAACCTCCTTGATTCAGGCTGGAATGGAAGCTTTTATTCCTTCGCGTCGGTTTCAAGTCAAGCCTCATTCTACTCCATGGTTTTCTCCTTCTTGTGCGGCTGCTATACCCAATCGTAATCATTTTTTTCATCTTTTTCAAAAGAACAACTCTCTTGAGAACAAACGGCTATTTATTATTGCAAGAAATCGATGTAAAAAGGTGCTTTCTGATGCTAAACTCCATTATTCTCAGTTCACTAAATCTCGCATCTTATCGCAGAAGTTAGGCTCTAAAGACTTTTGGAAAGTCTTCAACAGCATTATTAACAAGGGTAGATCTAACATTCCATCTCTCATTCATGGGACTAATCTTATTACCTCTCTCAAGGGTAAGACAGAACTATTTGCAAAGAACTTTTCTTCTAATTCCACTCTTGAATCTTATGGACATTCTTTTCCATTCCAGTCAAACAGGTTGACCCATTGTTAGACATTCAAATCACTTCGGCTTCTGTTGCTAAAGTCATACCTCAATTAAACTTGTCTACAGCTTGTGGTCCAGACAACATTCCTGTCACAGTCTTGCAGAACTGTTCTCCAGAACTTTCTTCAATTCTCTCTAAACTATTTAACAAGTGTTTGACTGAGTCTTATTTTTCTGCTTATTGGAAAATGGCATCTGTGGTTCCAATATTCAAAAACTCTGGAAAAAATTCTGACCCCTCCAATTATCGTCCGATCAGTCTTCTTTCTGTTATTAGCAAGGTCTTTGAGTCTTTGATCAACAAATTCCTCACATCTCATCTTTAGTCAAATAAACTACTGTCAGACAATCAATACGGCTTTCGATCCTCTCGCTCTACGGCTGACTTGCTAACTGCTGTAACTGAAAGATTTTCTCGTGCATTAGATGGAGGCGATGAGGCTAGGGCTATTGCTCTCGACATTTCTAAAGCTTTCGACCAAGTTTGGCATGCTGGTCTTCTCCATAAGCTTGCTTCATATGGTGTTTCTGGGAAAGTTTTTGAGATTATCAAATCATTTTTTTCTAACCGGTTTATTAAAGTCATCCTTGAAGGCCAACACTCATCTTTATTTCCAGTAAGTTCTGGGGTTCCCGAAGGTTCCTGTTTTGTTTCTTATCTACATAAACGATCTTCCTGACAACCTTTCATCTAAAGTAGCTCTTTTTGCTGATGACTCAACCTTATACTCCTGTCTTGACAAAAATTCTTCCCTTTTCGATCGCCAAGAACAAGCAGCTGATCTTGAATCCGATCTCACTTCAGTAATAGATTGGGGTTCACAGTGGCTTGTGAATTTCAACTCTAAAAAAACCCAGTTGCTTACTGCAAACAACTACCATAATATGGTCAACATTCCTATATTAATGAATGGCAATCTTCTTACTGAGTCACCCTCTTTACGTCTTCTTGGATTATCCCTTACTACTGACCTTTCATGGAAATCATATATACAATTGATTGCTAAATTAGCTTCTGCTAAGGTTGCTTCTCTTTATCGTGCTCGCTATTCCCTTACTTTTGATTCCGTTCTCTATTTCCACAAATCTCTATTTTGCCCCTGTATGGAATACTGTTGTCATATTTGGGCTGGTTCTTTTAAGGATTCACTTTCTCTTCTTGACAAGGTCCAAAAACGCATTGTAAATGTTGTTGGATCTGGACTATCTGCTAAGCTTGAACCTCTTTTCCATCGTCGTAAGGTTGCATCTCTTTCTCTTTTCTTCAAATACTATCATGGTCACTGCTCAAAGGAGTCATCATCTCTAGTTCCATCAACTAAAATTCATTCTCGTTTTACTCGTCATTCAGCTAAGTCTCATTTGTTTACTGTATCTGTCCCTGCATGCTCTAAAAAGTTTTATTCATCTAGTTTTTTTCCCCGCACTTCAATCCTTTGGAACTCTCTCCCATCTTCATGTTTTCCTGACTTATACAACCTTCAACTTTTCAAGTCTTCTGTCAACCGTTTCCTTGCTCTATAATTCTGTTCTTTTTTTCTTAGTTACTCCCAACTTAATAGTGGTTGCTTGCAGCCTTGTTGGGAGTGAATGCAAATAAAAAAAAAAAGTATTACACACCCCTGCAATAGAAAATCAACTGCTGAAAACTTAAAAAAAATTTGGTCAAAAGATTTTTTTGACATGTCTTTTTGATGAGAGCCCGGACAGCCTGGTATTGGATGTTATACCTCTATCAGAGCTGCATCTCTATGAGCATATTATCACACAGGTGCCAAAGTACTATTTTCAAATAAGACTTTAACTAAGTTCTTAAAAGAAAAAACTGTTACTCAGCATGGCTACAATGGTGGAGGACTAGATGGACCTAATTGTCAAAAAGTTATAAGGTCATTAGATGATAACTGTAGCGCTGCTGAAATACTTCGAGTGTATTAGCACACTAAGAAAATTTAAAGCAGGTAAATATTATTTTAGAAATATTATTAAGGTACTTGAAGAAATTAATAAGTTGTATCATTTTATTTTAGTGGCTGAGAGTTGTTTTGGAATGACATTAGATCCATCTTATGGTTATAAAATTAAAGCTTTCATTGATTCCATGGACTACATGAACAATTATATTGAAGAAAGGTACAAAATTGAAATACAAAGTAGAAAAGTTAGTTAACTTTCTTGGTTCCAGTTTGAATTATTTATTTAAAAAAAAAAAATCCTATTTTTGTAAGTCTTAATAATTCAGTTTAAAACAAAGTTAAAAAATATACTTGTTAAACTTGCAATTTGAATCTGTTTTTACAACTGGAATAAATGTAAACTAATACAATACCTATCAGATCATTATTCACTGTTTTAGGAAAAACTGGATCTAATTGGGTTCCTGTCAATAAAGATGCTCATCAGGGTTCAGTTTGGAGACCTACTCTATTTACTATGTATATTATTATAAATAATTATGTTTGCCAAATAAATGCCAAGACAAAAAGATATAAAGCCATAGTTGAAAGTAAAATAGGTTGTTAATGACTTTAAAGTGATTTCAATTGGACTACAGAATGGAAAAAAAATATGACAATTGCAATTTAAAAGCAAATAAAAAGTAATAAACCTTCTAGGGAATTCTAATTTACCACAATTGGATTACTACATGAATGACCTCAACATGTAGCCAACAGAGAAGTATACTTGGGGTAACATCAACTAAACAAGATTTAAGTATAATATTATCTAATCTTAAATTTGATGATGAAGTAAAAATGATCACATGAGGCTGCTTCTGTAGTACTCAAAAATACATTCGTACAAACCTAGAAAAGTTACTATATGGAGTAAAATTTAATAAAAACCCACATTTAAGATACACAGCTCAAATAAAGTATTCAAATGATAGAACAATTATTTTTAAAACTCTAATGGCACTAAAAAATGACACCACATTCCTAAAGTTACAATAGCATATGGTAAAATATAAATATTTATTTTTTAGCATTTAAAATTATTGCTTCCAACTGTTTATTATTACACATGCAAATCTTAACATGTGTAATAATATACAACCACCACATTAAAGAAGTTAAAAACATTTTTCTTAAATTTAAATAAGTTAAAATTTTCACTTACTTTTAGTTTTACAAATAAACCCAAAACTATTATTGCAATCATTGTCATTCCAACCATCAGTTGATATTTCCACGCAGTTTTCTATTCCTCCAATATTATTTGGTTCATTATTACTCCAATTTAAAAATAACAAAGATGTATTATCTGACCACACATATTTTCTTGGAAGAGCTTTAAGACCTTTAAGAATGTTCTAACTAATAATAAACTTCAAAAAATGGAATAAACGTATTTAAGTATTTTTAATTACAGTAATACTAATAAAAAAAATCTTAAAGGATAATACCAATCCAGAGATGATTCACACTGCCATTTTTAAGGAAATTTAAAATAAACTCATTTTCGTTTTCATCTTCTATACTTAATAAGTTTCCTTCATATTTTTGACATGATAAAAGAGCATGCTTCCAATTTTTCTTAGGGGAACTACTGAAAAAGTAGCAATCATCTTTATAATCAAACCAACCAATAGGACAGTCCCAAGTAGAACTCACTATAAAATGAAAATAAAATAACTCATTATTTTATTTAGGGTTAAAACTTAAGTTTAAGAAATACGGTTACATGATTTTACCGAGAAAAATTATTTTATCAAATAAATAGGAAAATGAAATAAGAAATTTACTTCAATTGAGATTTATAAAAATATTTGCGCTGCGTTATCCAATCTGCATTCTTTTATGTAAAAAATTAGACAACTTATTTTTACTTCAAATAGAAGCTATACTATACACAATAGAAACTGATTCAAATTAAAACAAGATATTTTTGTGTTAAAAGTGTATTAGACTTCTGTTAATATATTTTATACTTCTTAATTTTCATAAAAGTAGTCGTCTTTCCAATATAACTTTTCAAATTTATAAACTATTCGTTCTGCATTTATATGCATGAAATAAGCAACACTATTTCCAAATCAAATGTTGGTTGACATATTATTGGTTGGCCATATTGGTTTGTCACCAGTTAACATCTTACTGTATAAAAATGATATAGTATTGCCATCTTGGCCCATACAACAGTGTTTATTGGGTCTGTGTTCTATTGTTGTTACTGAATTACACATGAAATTCAATGTAAAAAAAGCATATACTGACATTTGTGCCCTACAACTATGTAAGATGAGTTACATACTTTTTTCCTAGTTTTGTATTGGATGCTAGTAACTTAAACAGTGTGGAAAGTTTGAAATACATAGGTCACATCTTGTTAACTGCTTCAGAAAACAATGATGATATTCTAAATCAAACGGCATAGCTATGTGGTAAAGGTATAATGCCTTTTTTGATAGAATATACACTTCAAAACAGCATCACTACAAATATTTGTATTAATTTAACTTTTTTTATGTATTTTATATATGTTATGCACCACATATATGTTATGTACCTTATTTATGTGATGCATTTATAACATCCAGTTTAAACGGATGTTAATATTTACGCCCAGCATCTGAATTGCTTCAACACATGTGAACATTCAACATTCAAGAATTCCACATTTTTACCAGTGTTACTACAGTTCGCATCACTACTGCAAGAAAAAATTTGGGTAATCTAATAAGTTTATTAGCTCTATTGCCTCACATGCTCCAATGAATCAATAATTTGTTTTCTAAAAAGAATCCAAGAATGGCTTACATAACTGCAATCTGATCTTTTTAAATAATCTGAATATAATCTCTAAAGCTTGTTTTAGACCTTAAAGAAATAACTTAAAGCTCTTCTTTACTCAAAATTGACAAAAGTATTCTACAAATTGACAAAAATAGAAAATCTTTAAAAGATGAGATTGGGCAAAAGTAAAACTGGTTTTCTTTATTATCATCATTGTATGGCAATTGATGATTTAAAGCACAATTTTCTTTTTTTTTTTCTTTTTTTATTCTTCTAAGAACCATAATTCTTTTTTTTTTTTTTTTACATATTTTTGTCAAGCAAGAATAAATTTTATCTGTCAATCAAGAATAAAATTAAATTTAAAAATATTGTATAAAACATTTTAAATAATTTTCAATGCAACTAAATTTTTATCAATTAACGTGTTGTTCAATATTTAAGTACATTTTCAGAAGTAAATTTTTAGGAATAAATTTTCAGATGTCTGGGGCCTAAATATTATTCTTAATTTAATTTCTTTACAATAAAATCATTTGTAAAATTGTAAATAACTCATTTATAAACAAAATCTTCGTAAACTTATTTAAAAATTCAAAAAAATTAAACTTGAACTTTTTAATTACAAAACTATTTTTATCTAATACAGTCTAATATAGAATTATCTAATATAGTCTAATATTTGAGATATAAATGCATGTTAGACTCTTACATGTAAGTCTTACAGTAAGACTGTACTTACAATAAGACTGTACTTACAGTAAGACTGTACTTACAGTAAGACTGTACTTACAGTTAGACTGTACTTACAGTAAGACTGTACTTTCAGTAAGACGTACTTACAGTAAGACTGTACTTACAGTAAGACTGTACTTACAGTAAGACTGTACTTTCAGTAAGACTGTACTTACAGTAAGGCTATACAACTTTTTGGTAATTATTACTATTTTATAAAGTACAATAAAGACTTAGAACAACTAAAAATAATCTTATTCAACTTACAGAGAAAATGTGAGACAGATATAATGGTTTATTGACACAGTAAACAATGATATCTTTCTCACTAAAGGCATATCATGAAGTTATTGAAGTCTCAAATCATCTGTAATTTATTCAGAGACACACCACTTATTCATATATTTTGACTCATATACGATTTGCTCAATAAAACACACCACTCATCCATATGCCTTATACTCCTTCCATTACTCACTCATCAACACACCACTCATCTATATGCCTTAATTCCTCTGCCACTCACTCACCAATATACTACTGTAAAACTGATAACGGATTTAAAGCTGCTGGCAAGAAAATTTACAATACTGCATACCTACTTTTTTAAGTAACACTAGATAAATAATTATTGACATAAATTTTGACAAAACTAATATTAAATAAGTAATTATTAAGAGCTACTCATAAAACATGATCATTATCATATTCAATACTACAATTAATATACTACTGCTAATACTGTTTTTCTTATATCCAATAAATTTACTGTAATCAATAATTTTTTTCTCTATAGCAGACACTATCAATTTATGGACCTCGTGTGCTTATAAAAATGTATTTGTTTTCCTAATAAATGTAGATCAATTATTTACTATTTAATTTTTTTTTTAATTTAACTATTTACTATTTTTATTGTTGTTAACTATTATTTTTAATGAAATTAATTTTTTTATGTCATTATTGGTATTCAATTTATTATGTTTTTAAGTTGAGTTTTAGTAGCTTTTGTTTAGATTTTTTTTTTTTTTTATGACTTTGGAGGTGACTTTGGCCCTGGGATGTCAGAACTTTTTTAATGTTAAATAGGTAAAAACTTGGTTCAGGGATGGTTTCAAGGGTGCGTGTGTGGGGTGTGATTCCCTAATAAGCCTAATACTTGTGTGGGGTCCCATTCCCTGACAAGTGAGCCTGTTTTATAAGGCATTAAACGGGTAGGCACAGTCGGCAGAGCAGAGCAGATCACTTATATGGTACAAACAACAGAGCGGATTATTAAATCAGCTGAATTCTTATGTGTTCTACCAAATAATTTAGCATACGCACAAAGCACTCCAAGTCTAAAATTAATTCTAGAAAGAATCAATAGCTTTGAGCCTTGAGTCTTGTGCACTAATGTTATTTGTGTTAGGTAGTACAAGTCTTACCAATAAAAAAAGTGATTTGCCGTATTCTTAAATCAAATAAACTTGTGAAAATCTGAACAACCTAATTTTTATATGCGATCTGCCGAATTATTTGGCAAATATCTGCAAAATAACTCTAAAATAAAAAGTTATTTGGCAGATCGCTTATTATGCGATCTGCCAAAATGCTTGAAGACAAGTTTATGCTTTATTTCTCTCTAGTTTTGGATTCTTTGTTCGTTTTCTAGATATGGATTTTGTCGCACTCACATGGATTTACTTCTGGTTATTTGAACTAAGAAATTTCAATCAATTCCATAATGCCATGTTGTTCTAAGAATGTTTTGTTCTGCTGTTGTAACAAATTGTAATGGAAAAAGTTCCTTTTCAAACTTCAAAAAAAGCAATGAATTGTTACAGGTCTAATAGCGGACAAAATAAGCTGATCGGCTCTATTAAGTATGCCAACAAAAAAATAGTGGCGAAAAACAGATTTTTTTGGTTAGGTGGTGGGAAAGAGTTTGTTGAGGCCACAACTGTTATTTCGCTGTGGAGTTAAAGACGGGTTGCATATGATAACATGTGATCTGCCAAATAATATGGTAGATCACTTGTTAGAATTAGGTTGCTCTGATTTCCGCAAGTTTAAGTACTATCACGTTTGATTGAAGATCGATAGCAAAAAAATATACGGTCAATAGCTTTATATTGACTATATGGAGTGCAGTGGCGTAGGAAGGTTTTTAAATGTTTGTAATAACCAACTTTATAGCAAAAAGAATATTCTAAACTTTCTTACGTTAATATGTATGACGAAAAGATTCTTCATAAAAAAAAATTATTGTGAAAGGAGAATGGGATTAAGAAACCCTACTATCTTAGCCCCCTCCTCCCCTACCACAAAATTGAGAGCAACATGTTGATGAAATATTTTTTGTACTATTTTTAACTTGACTTATATTCATTAATAGATTTTAAATTTTATGGTAAAATATTTTAGTGTTCGAAAATTATGATCATATATAATTTGCAATGCCCTTAAATTGAGGGGGATTTAATAACTTTATATGGTCATAATTTTTGAAGACTAAAATATTTTACTATGAAATTTAAAATATAGCGATGAATATAAGTCTAGTTGAAAATAGTACAAAAGAATTTTCATCAACTTGTTGCTCTCAAGTTTGGGGCAGGGGGCTAAGGTTTTAGGGTTTCTTGTTCCCATTCTCCTATCATAGTAATTTTTTTTGTGAAGAATCTTTTTGTCATACATATGAGCATAAAAAAGTGCGGAATATACTTTTTGTTTAAAAGTTGGTTGTTTCAAGCAATTAAAAATCTTCCAACGCCACTGATGGAGTGCATCGTTTTTCATAGCATATTTGGTAGATCGCAATATAATAATATTACTGTTAGATTATTATTGTTATACATGTTAGAATTAATTTAAACATTTGCTTTGCTGAACTATTTAGCTGATCACAAAAAGTTCATCTAATTTTATAATTCGTTCTGCCGTTTGTATTATACAAATGATCTGCTCTCCTAATTGTACCTACCCCAATAAACGTCTTTAGGTCGGCAGATTTTTAGGTTGCAGACCTTTATTTATTTAAAGAAGGCAATTCGGCACTTTTTAAGGAATCACCCCCTCCTTCCTTATTTAATTTCTAAAATTACCCCCGTTTCTTTCCCTGAAAACGCTAAATTGAAAACTATATTTCAATGTTTCAAAG